CATACTCCCTATTGGTACTTAAATAATAATCATGAGTTCATTCTTATATTCTGATTCCAAAATGTACCCAATTAAAATTATAGAGATATCCGTCAATATGGTTTTCATATAGAAACCCTAAGATGACAATTAAGAGAAGTATTTTTCTCTTAACAATGGATATGGCAATACTTAAACAAAACATCCTCAGTTGAATTTGACTACCGCCTTGTTTAGTTGGACCCCAAAGTCCAAAAAGTTGCTACAGTACCTGTCACATCGAATGTTTGCGGCCCGTGCATGGAGCATTAAATGTAGACGAAAATAAAAACTAATTGCACAGTTTGGTGGGAAATTGCGAGACGAACGTTTTGAGCCTAATTAGTCCATGTTTGAACACTATTTGCCAAATAAAAACGAACGTACTACAGTAGCCCCAAAATCCAAATTCACCCAACTAAACAAGGGCTACATATACATAACATGTATCCAATGTTGCGTATAAATAATTCTCTCTCTTGATGTCAACAAGACTTGGCACATTTACCTTAGTTATTCAACTATAGAGATAACTTGAGAATTATTGTCAATTCTATTGGTCATAACATCAATATGAGCCACTACATTTCTTGAAGAAATTCAAGAACATACATGTGACTCTATTTATTATTTTATGAACTATAAAGATACTATGTAATGCACATTTATGCATCTATAATATAGTCCCAGGTGTGTCTCTTAGTCATGAGAATCATCACTATATCAAATTCATTGCTCAAAATCTTCAATTTAGAGCAAATTATCCTAGATGTGGGATCAAATCCATTTTATAAGGAACAGTTTAGTTTTTGGGTACTATATATCAAGTACCTTATGTCCATACCAATAATGGTTTTATTGAGTCTGTTATTGAGAATCAAATCGCATGGCATATTAAAATAGAATTATAATTTACCAGAACTAAGTTGTTTTCATGCGGTCTTACACACCGCATCGTTAATTCAAATTCATCAAGCTGCACTTATACAACTCCCTCCATTGCAGTATGTACGTGAAACTTTGGCCATAGCCAAATATTTCCCATCTGCGCATCGAGTATATTTTCACATACCCAAATCACCACCCCAATATACCAATGGGCATTAGGGATCCCAAGAGGTAACTCTACAGGGGATTTATAAATTGCCCGTATGTTGATCACATTTGAGGAGAATTCCAAGCATTAGGGGGAGGTTTATACCATATTAAGAATGCTAGGAATCAAAAGAGCAATCCTCACATCCACGTACCAAAAATTCTAAACCTAATCGTTTAGAATATCTTATATTTGCATCATATTGCAAAGAATCTGCCAGAAACATTTACTGATAATAAGGGTGTCACAAAATCCTCTTATCCTACTTATAATACGCCCGAAAGAATGGAGGTACCAATTAAAACCATTCAACTCCCACTTCCAAAGAAAAGGGGGAGAAGTATGGCCGCTTCTAAGGATAATGCTCCAAGCAAGCGTTCGAGGATACTGAGGACAATATCCTCCAAATCAGTAAATCCAAGCCAACCTCAAGTTGGTAGACACCCAAAATGGATGAGCATCCAAAACCCGGATCAAAATCCACCCGGATCAACGGTGCACCCAAATTCTGATCCTGGGACATTGGAACACCCTGACTCCATATGGGAAATGACTCGGAGTCCAAAAGGGTTAACATTTTCATATGCTATATTGATTTCAAGAACCGAATCAATCATTTAAAGACTACAAATTATCGTGGCATATACTCCTCAAAGATTGCTTTTTTACATTACTGGATCCATACCAAAAGTCCTAGGTAGAGTGTCTTCACACTCAAATTTGGTCAAACTAAAAGGTAGCAAATAAGGAGATTGCTCTTGTTCAATGATGATAAGTATTACCACAGTAATATCTTCCCTCACAGAGTTTCTTTTCAGAAGCAAGGTGGTGAACAATGAGAGCTTGTAGCATATGGTTTCACGCAGAGACCCAGCATAGCATACCCCATGGTATGTGTGAAAATGAAGTTTTCCAAATTTAATAATTGGCATATCAAATGAATTTGATAGATTCGGACGTATAAGTCCCAATGGACTTCATATTCTGAATCCAAAATACAAATCGCAACATACATTGTGTATAATTAAGCATGATTGCGTATATTGGTTATTTTGATATCATCATGATACAGAAATAATTATGCAATCATTTGAGATACAATTTCCATCACGTGGATTCGAGATGGAGGATTTGGGTAAGACCAAATATTGTCTAGGCTTACAGCCTGAGCACCGTCCTTCAGGGATTTTAGTGCATCAATCAGCCTATATCCAAAAAAATATTGGAAAAAAGATATTGGGACCAAGATTCCATATCTCAGTGTCATTGGAGCACTTATGTATCTTGTAAATTGCAGCAGGCCTGATATCGTATTTGCAGTGAACATACTAGTTAGACATAGTACAAATCCAACTCACCGTCATTAAACGGGAGCGAAGCATATTCTCAGATATCTTAGTGGCACAAAGGATCTTGGTTTATTCTTTAAGAGAAATCATGATCCCAATATGATTGGATACACGGATGCTGGTTACTTATCTGGTCCCCATCCCAAACTGGATTTGTATTCTTACATGGAGGTACAGCTATTTCATGAAGTCTTCTAAACAGACTCTGACGGCGACCTCTACTAATCATTCTGAAATTATTGCTCTATACGAGGCATCACGAGAATGTGTATGGCTTCGCAGAATGCTTAACCACATACAACAGTCAAGTGATATTGGTTCAATTGAATCACCTACAATTATCTATGAAGATAATTCTGCTTGTGTTACACAGATGCAAACAGATTACATAAAGAGCAATATCACTAAGCATATTGTTCCTAAATTGTTTTATCCCCATGAATTACAAGAAAGCAGGGAAATAAACATCTTGCAAATGCAGTCATGTGATAATCTCGCTGACATATTTACTAAGTCCTTACCAACTTATGTGTTTCAAAAAATTGGTACATGGAATTGATATGCGGCGACTTCGAGAGTTGCTAGAATCAGGAGGAGACATCTCCTAAATGTTGACTTGTATCAGCATCATATTATACTCTTTTCTTTCACAAGTTTTACTTACAAGGTTTCTTGTTAAAGTTTTAATGAGTAATATTAGCATAAGATGTGTCATATTTCCTATTTTCCTCACCGGAGTTTTTGTGGGAAATATCAAAGACATATATTGCCCTCACAACTCATCCATGGTTTTTCTATGAAAAGGTTTTTCATGTGAGTTATCCAAGAGGCAATACTAATAATATGTCGTCATATTTTTCCCTAATTTTCCCACTGGGTTTTTACAGGAGTTTTAGCGACATATCACTTTATATTGCTCCTCATATTTTTTCTGAAAGGTTTTGGGAGAGTTATCTTTATGTCGTATCTCCAATATTTTTTCCCATTGGGGTTTTTAATGGGATACCAATGACATAGTAGTTTATTTAAATTACAAATAAATATGCTATTTTCTCCTTATTTTTCAATAAGGTTTAAAGGAGTTTTTATGGCATATCATATATTTCTCAGATTTTTCCCATAGAGTTTTTCGAGAAATTTCAGCTTACAGCTGCATTAATCTTAAGGAAGATTCGATCAAGGGGAAGTGCTGTGAAACGACACCTATATGCGAACGGACGTCTATAGACGAACAGGCGTCTCTTCACGAGTAATCTCATCCATCAAGCACATGATTAGTGGATAGGATTAGACAGTTAATTTTAGTTTCAAAGGACATGTCTTTTAGAAACAGTCGTATCCCTTAATGACACCTCTTCACTTATATAAATATATTTTCGAGATCAATAAAAACACCTGTTCTCCCGAATCTTATTTATTTCCGTTTTAACAGGTTGCACATCGCAAGGAAAACAAAGCAGCGTGTCAGAGACTCATGGTTTCTTGGTGAGCGTGCGAGCTAGCTTCTGCGGTCGCTAGCGAGATACTTTTCCGTCTTCTCTCACATCCAAATGGATTATAATACAATTTCTGCTGGTGATATGGAGTCCCGTAGGGACGCCCTAAGTCATTGTTGATGAAGACTTGAGGTGACATGGCACTGGGTGCAGCCCAATGCTGGCGTTGTTATTCTTATTAGCCTTGCTCTAAAACAAGATGTCATCAAGCTTTGATAAGACTTCAGCAAGTGGTTTGAATGGGAGATGAAAGGCATGTTAGCTCACAATTTTCAGAAATGTTTCAAACTTTCAATCTTATGTTTCACGTACTTGTAATCACGACCTTGTTCCTTGTGTGAGGGTCAAATCTGAGTCAGTGTACTGTGTTTTCCTATATTCCATTGTATGCTTGATTTGGTTGCCAACGCTATGCCACCGGCATGGCGGTATCTGAGTAATGGAATTTTCCATTTCAGAAAAAGAAGAAAATACACATTGTACTCGGAGGTCAGGAAATCAAAACCACTTTTTTTTCCTTTTTCTTCATGCATTGTTTAATCATCTCACAAGAAATGTCAGATAATATAAGTTGCTCTTAGTTACAATAAAAAATCACTGTACCTAAGGTGTCTGGCTGAAAAATGCTCAAAGCTCAGTGTCCATACAAGAATTGAACGGAAATTGACACCACGGAGAATAGAGGACCAGTAGATCAGATGCTTCAGCACAATCTTGGCAAACACGTACAAACACACATTCTAACTGGAGCAAGCTCTTCTATCCCCCAATTCCCCATAACACTCTCCACTCATGCATCCCATAGAGCATATTGTTTTAAGAGCCTTCCTTACGGAATTGGTTAGCTGTAATGCCCTATGAGACTCCGGATAAATTAGAATAATCTCTCAGCTCAGTTTCTTGTGTCAGAATCCCTCGGTGCAATTTTGTGGCTTCAACGCAATTCTCTTTTCTGAGTAAATTGTGGAAATATCTCCCAAAGAATATTTTCATAATCAACATTCCAGTAAGAAAAGAATGGTGCATGTAAACATGTTTCTTTTACTCCGCATATCCAAACTCTGGGTCCATATCAAGTTTCCGTTTTAAACGAGACTTGTCTGCGCTGCAAAACAGGAGGTTGACATGTATCTTATATGCATCGAGAACAGCTGCATTGTTCATATAAATAGTAGTACAAGCTTTACTCAGCAAGGCTAGTGCTGTTTACCTGTTCAATGTTGGCCTAGGTGCAGGTCGTGTGCCAAACACAGCTCCAACATCAACTGACATTGGAATTCTAGAACTCTGACTGGGCATGTCATCTGTATGCCTCATCCCAGAAGGATGCTCGTCCACTTTATCTGCCCTGTGCATACCTTCCATCCCTTCATGCCCTGTCACCCTACGTAACTTTCTGGGTGGGGAGAGCACCACAGGGCCATCCTGCAGGTTCAGATCAGGTATCTTGCTATTCCCTTGATCTCCTTTCCGCCGTGGCCTTGGAAGCTGTGATGGTCTTGTTGGAGCAGGTAACGATGAAAAGTACCTTAAAACCAAACATAAACATTTGTCATCCATACAAGCAAGAGAACGGAACAGAGTTTCCAATCAGTCATATCGTTGCACCTGTGTTCTAGAGCCTGCTGAGCACTGATTCTTGCTTTTGGATCATATGTAAGCATTTTTGACAGAAGATCCAAAGCATCGTCGCTGGCCATTGGAAACAATGTACGTAGTGGAGGTGCAGCAACATATTGGTATTCAACATAATCAGGAAGATAAACCATGTCAGGCCATTGAGAAGACTTTGGGGTCCCAAGTGCTGCGAAAATCTTCCCAAGTTGATCAATGTCACTAGAACCCTGCAAAATAACTTTTTTTTTGACTCAGGTGTCCCTTAATAAAGCTGCTTGAATTGTCGCTACAATAATGGAATTGCCACCCACTGACTATAATATAGTTTCCCAATCCCAACATCTAGGTACATGGTACACCATTCAACAAGAAAAACCAAATGATGGTTCTCTGTAGTGCAAACTCTACAGTTTAGTAAAAGTAATTGCTGGGCATCATGCATCAGTAATGCTTGCTTACCGATTTTGTTTTTATATCAACTTGTTTAAATCATTGTTAAATTTAAATCTCTTGATGCAAGAATAAAGAGAAACAAAACCCTATGAACTAAACCAAGGAGTGCTCGATTGGTGAGAGGCATGCTTCAGGCCCATACTTGAGGTCACTTATTCTATTCACCTCCTGAACAGAATATATAATTTTTCCATTTCTAAATTTGAGAACCATGTCAGCTAAAAAAAATTGAGAAAAACAACACCTTAAGCAGGGATCAGACCAGGACAAGGTGAGCAGAAGTGCAGAACTGTAATATTATGTTGGTTTATTTAAATTCTACAGTATTATTGAATTCAAACAAAAGTGAGAAGTTTCGGCCAGTATAAACTTTTGCTAGGACCACCCAGTAAAGGCCATTACTGCCAAAGTTTCGAAGAAATGAAATCATCTACACTATTTCTATGCATGCCTAAAGTCTCCTTTTTGCAAAACAATGTGTCTAGTGGAGCACGTAAAAAAAAAAAGGCAAAAGATCTGAAATGCCAATGTGTTCCAGGAAATAAAGCCATTAATAAGAACAAATATCCTTAATCCCAGTCAAGTGGTAGCTTAACTCAAAACATTTACTGGCCTTCTACATATTCTATACAAGTTTTAGGTTACAATATTTTTAGTTACTAGAAACACGTCCACTGAAAATGTTACATATTTAAAAAACGCTAATATATGGAGAGATAAATCTAAGAAAAAAATCAATCTGCTGCAATTTTGCACCCAAAAAGTGAACAGTGCAACAAGATTACTTTTTCTCATACGGATGAAAGATTTTTTTTTTCATTCCAGATCATATCAACTTACAATTTATGAAAGAAATTGAACACTCTAATATAAACTAAAATAAACAACTTATGAACTTGGACAAAAACTAAACCCATAAAAGGACATGGGTTACCTACACCACCTGTGGAGATACACACATATTTTTAACTTTTTACTTGTACACTTCAAGAGATAATATTTGTTTGCACAAAAGATAAACATATGTATCTTTATTTTTAAATGCACAAATAGATATTTTGCACAATCTTCTTGTAAGATATATATGGTTCATTTGAGAATTCTTTGAACTGTATACAAGACCCGCGCCAGTCCCTTTGGGGTGACACGGGCGGAAGCAGCGCCGCCGCCGCTAACCCCCTCCATCCCCATCACTCTCCTCTTCGCAGCCGCCCGAGCACGTGACCTCTCATCTTCGCAGCCGCCCGAGCACGTGACCGGAAGGCCTCTTCTCTCCCTCACGTGAGCTTTTCCCGTAGGCGGTGCAGGGATTGGACATTTCTACAGGCTGGCTACAGCTGGGTTAATAATATCCTTAAACTATATGCAGAATGATAACTAAGCAAGTAAAAACTTGATTTTCAATGGTAGAATTCCTGAAGAATTTTCGCTAACTAAAAACAACACTTCAACTGCTTTTCTTTTCTTTTTCACTTAAACAAGTTAGGCATTTTACTCTTAGATGCTGCTGTCCAAAGGAACTTTGCAAGCATGCACAACCAAGTACAAGAATAAGAACAAGAAAACACAGAGCAATAACACAACTCCCAAGTAATTTATGTGGTGTTAGGCTAGAGCTCTATCCCAACAAAAACAGAATGCATTAGTTCTCCATATAAGAGTTTGCAAGCTCTAGCAGATCCACTGCATGGCAGTGACATTAAGGCCTCCCATCACATGGCAATAATTAACCTTCCAGAACATGGAAAATGCAAATACAACGAAGAAAAGGTCCCCAGTAAGAGCCTTGATAAATCTTACTATGGCCCTTCATGTACGCCCTTTCAAGTAACATATTTTGTTCAAATGCTAATAGGGAAAAAACAAGAAAGTACTGATACAGATTTTCAAGAAAGCACACTCCATAAAGAATTTGCTTTTAGCTTCTGATGGTTAACACAGTGGCCAGGGATAGAAATGCATGGAAATCAGTAATCCACATGCCAGAACCAATACTAGGCTACTGGTCTACTCTTATTACTATTGCTAGGAACTCTTTTTCCTTTTGCTCTTCTACATTTTTGTCTCTCATGTTGAGTTTCACCTCTAGACTACCCCAACTTGCTTGGGAATAGAAGTTTTTTTATGTTGAGTTTGGCCTAGTGCAGGCCTTCTTTTGAACCCAGTTAAAAAATCATACCAGTCATTCACCAGCTGAAACAACCCTTTCACTAGGTCCTAGTGGCGCTCAAAATGTCGAACCAAAATATTATTATGAAAGTTTGTAGAGTATTGTACCCCAAACATAATGTATGTGGATAGTGAGTAGGCAAAATTAGATTCTGATTTAATACATTTGATGTATGGGTTGCTAAATTTGTTTCTGTTGGCACATCTGGCCAAAAAAATGCTAGGAATTAGTGGCTGGGTGAAATTAAAATCCCATTTTACAGAACCTGTGGTCTGAGTTTTGATCATCACAGAGGCCACTACAGTGGTCTATTAATTATTTAGAAGTTCAAAAGCAGGCTGGTTGCAGCATCAGTCCTTTCACCTAACTAGGAACAGACAGTTTTTCATATAAAAAATAGTCTGGTCCTGCTGCAAAAATGACAGCTGATGTACAAATCTAGTTAACACATGTAGTTAGTGCATCATCAATGAACAGAGACTTAGCCATGGACATTAACTTCTCAGCATACAAGCATTTCTTTGTCTTAAATGGAGAAGGGTGAATTCCAATGAAAAAATTAACTAAGAGGTTCTTAACCTGGAGAAAGGCTCTGCGAGTAAGCAGTTCAGCAAAAATACATCCAGCAGCCCAAATATCCACCCCAGATCCATACTGCTTCGAGCCAAATAATAATTCTGGTGCCCGGTACCAACGAGCAAAGACCTACATGTAAAAATAGTTAAAGTCACATGCCTGCCACTACCAGGACAAAATAAATCTAGTCTAGTTAATAAAGGAATGAAATACAAGGAAAACACTAAATAACTACTCAACACAGAGAACTAGAGCTGGCCTTTGACTGCATAATAAAATATTCTAAATAGGAACTATGTGTAGAGAAGTATAGGAATCACACCACACACCCAATGTGGGGGGGTGCTGGATATATATAGCCACAGTCACAATACAATACAAGGCAACTAGGCTATGGTTAATCACTATCCTAAAATACATGATCCTGATGGATCCTCTCCTAATGCTAGCCTTCCTAATGAGTCATTTCCTAATACCCGCCCGCAATCGAAGCGGTAGGAGGATCACGGACGCAGAGGCTGGACCGAAAGTCTGTGAACAGCTGCACAAGAAGACCGTTGGTCATGATATCCGCGAATTGGTGAGCCGAAGGAACGTGGAGGACGCGAATCTGCCCCAGGGCCACCTTCTCGCGAACGAAGTGGATGTCGATCTCGATATGCTTGGTGCGATGGTGGTGGACAGGATTAGCAGTCATGTAGATGGCGCTAACGTTGTCGCAGTAGACCACTGTAGCCAAGGGAACCGAGATGTGAAGTTCCTGAAGGAGTTGCCACACCCAGCAGCATTCAGCGACGACATGTGCAACAGCCCGGTATTCGGCCTCCGCGCTAGAGCAGGAGACCAAGGTCTGGCGTTTGGATGACCAAGACACCAGATTGTCGCCGAGGAAGACGCAGAAGCCGGAGGTGGAGCGGCGGGTGTCCGGGGAGCCTGCCCAGTCAGCATCGGAGTAGGCGGTGATCTGGTTGACGAGGCCGGTGCCCAGGTGGAGGCCGGCGGAGAGCGTGCCCTTCACATAGCGTAGGATACGCTTGATCAGCGCCATATGCGGCTCACGTGGGTCATGCATCAACAAGTAGACCTGCTGAACAGCAAAGGCCAAGTCAGGCTGCGTCAGTGTGAGGTACTGAAGGGCGCCGGCGAGGCTTTGGTACTCGGAGGGGTCAGCCACCGGGGCACCGTCGGTGGCGGACAGCATGGTCCGTGCATCGGCCGGCGTGGCAGTGGGGTGGCACTTGGACATGCCAGCCCGCTGGAGGTCGACGGCGTACTGGCACTGGGACAGGAATAGACCGGAATGATCCCATGTCACAGCGATCCCGAGGAAGTGATGGAGGTCGCCGAGATCCGTCATGGCGAACTCCGAGTGGAGGCGAGCCATGACGTGCTGGAGCAGCTCAGGAGATGACGCCGTGAGGATGATGTCGTCGACGTAGAGGAGCAGGTAGGCAATGCAGGCGCCCTCTTTGTACACAAAGAGGGAGGCGTCAGACTTGGAGGCAGCGAAGCCGATGGAGCGGATGTAGATGGCGAATCGCTGGTTCCAAGCCCGGGGCGCCTGCTTGAGTCCGTACAGGGACTTCTGCAGCAAGCAGACATAGTTGGGGGTGGCCGGGTCGACGAAGCCAGACGGCTGCTGGCAGTAGACCATCTCCTCAAGATACCCATAGTGGAAGGCGTTCTTCACGTCCAGTTGATTAACGGGCCAGGAGCGTGAGGCGGCGAGGCTGAGGACGGTGCGGATTGTCGCCGGTTTGACAACCGGGCTAAAGGTCTCGTTGTAGTCGACACCAGCCTGCTGGGACAAGTCGCGGACGACCCAGCATGCCTTGTGCCGAGCCAGAGTACCGTCGGAGTGGAACTTGTGTTTGAACAACCACTTGCCGGTGACAATATTGGCGTCGGGGGGCCGAGGTACGAGGCGCCAGGTGCCGTTGGCGAGGAGAGCATCGTATTCCGCAGACATCGCAGCCCGCCAGTTGGGGTCGGCCAGGGCGCTGCGATAGTTGGCCGGAATCGGGGAGGCCGTCGTGGCGGAGAAGCCGTAGCGGTCGACTGGACGCCAGCTGCCGGTCTGCAGCCGTGTCACCGGGCGTGGAAGGTGGTGGAGGTGCAGCAGGCGGTGCTGAGGACGCCGCCGGGGGCATTGGAGGCGCGGCAGGGGGTGCCATGGGCACCGCGGGTCGTGGACGCCGCTGCCCCAAAGCGACCAGTCCCGCCCGGACGCGGAACAGGGTGTGCTAACCCGCCCGGAAGCTGCATCGGGCCAGCGTAGATGATCGCCAGGTCCTGGTAATCCAGCAGCACAGCCTTGCTGCTGGGAAGAGGCGCAGACGAGCGCTCAACAGCAGAAGGAGGCGGATTGTCAGCTGGTGGAGAAAGTCCCTGCATCAAGAAGTCAAGTAATGACGGCACGGAGGCCGCCGACGGAGCTACAGCAAAAGGGAACACAGTCTCGTCGAACACATGACGTGACACTGACACGCCGAGTGGCCATGTCCAGGCAGCAGTACCCTTTGTGGGAAGAAGGGTAGCCGAGGAACACGCACGGGGTCGATCGAGGGGAGAGTTTGTGGGATGTCGTGGCATTGAGATTTGGGTAGCAGAGACAACCGAACACACGAAGGGAGGAGTAATCCAGGAGCTGCTGATGAAGGAGTTGGTAGGGGATGGCATGCTGTACAGAAGCAGATGGGCGTCGGTTTTGCAGATATGTGGCGGCGGCCAAGGCTTCAGCCCAGTATGGTGGTGGCATGGAGGCGTGGAGCAGCAAAGTGCGGATGGTGTTGTTGATGGTGCGAAGTATGCGTTCGGCTTTGCCTTTTTGTTGGGAGGTGTAGGGGCAGGAGAGGCCCAAGCTGATGCCGTGGCTAGAGAGGAAGTCAGTAGTGGCCCGGTTGAGGAACTCGGTACCATTATCAGCCTGAAATGCTTTGGGGATGACGCTAAACTGCGTACGAGCGAAAGCGATGAACTCAACAAGATGGCGATGAACCTCAGATTTGTGGCGTAATGAAAAAGTCCAACAAAAATGAGAAAAATCATCAAGCATCACAAGATAATATTTGAACCCGAAGTGCTCAAAATAGAGGATGTCCATACATCACAGTGAAGTAACTCAAAGATAGAGGTAGTGACAGAAGTAGATCTACTGAATGGGAGCCGGGTGTGTTTGCCAAGTTGACAGGCATGACATAAAGACCGCGGCTGCTTATTACATGAGATGACAGACATATTCTGTAGGGTGGCGAGGGCGGAAGGACCCGGGTGACCAAGACGATGATGCAAGAGCGTGGCCGAGGTGGCGAGGCTGCAGGTGGGCGGTGGCATGGGGGTGATGGTGTAGAGATCCCCGCCACTATTGCAGCGAAGAATCACGCGTCCCATCTGCAGGTCCTTGACAAAAAAAAACAGAGCGTCAAATTCAATGGAACATAAATTGTCGCGAGTGAATTGACGGACAGAAAGAAGAATGCGTACTAGAGCAAGAGCAACAAGGACATTATTAAGGTGGAAGGTAGTGTTGGCTGCCGACAAGGTAGAAGTGCCACGACAAGATATAGGAATGTTACTGCCACTACAACAGTAATGAAAGAATCGGAGTGAGGGAGGCGGGAGAGGAGTATAACATCCAAGGGCGACATGTGTGTAGACGTGCTCGTGTCGAGGACCCAAGGGTTTGAACCTGGAGGACGGTGGTTGTGGCAACAACAAGACCGGCCGATTCGAGGACCGGCCACCTTGAGTGAGGGGCGCCGCCGAGTATCTTGTCTTTGGGCGAAGGGCGTGTGGGGCATGTGAGGGTGCCAGGGACGCCAGGGCATTGTGGGGGCGCCATCACTGCTTTGGTAGTAGCCGCCCCATCGCTGTCTTTGGCGCGCCTGTGGGGAGAAGGTAACCGGGGCTTACCGGCAAGGGAGGGCCGTGGCTGCCTCCCTGGGACGATCTGCCACCACCGCCACGACCCTTCCGCCGATTGCGATAGCCGCCGCCGTTGCTGCCATTGCCAGGACGGGAGCCCTGGCTGTTGCCCGACCGGCCACCGTGGCTGGAGCGCCTTGATCGCCCATGGGCGCATGGCGGCAAAGGCCGCAGAAGGAGTTCTGCGAGGAGGGGTCAGGAGGTGACACAGCCCTCGTTGCAAGGCGAAGCTCCTTGAGGACGAGCTTTTCGCGGGCGGTGGCAAAGTTGGGCAGCGGATTGGAATCCACGATATTGTCGGCGGTGCTGGAAAAACGGGGGTTGAGGCCGCGCAGCAGGATGAGGACGAGCTGCGATTCGATGACGGTGTGGCCGACGTCGCGCAGGCATCGGCCGTGGTCTTCATCTTCTGGCAGTAGGCGTCGATGGAGAGGTCACCCTGAGTCATCGAATGGAATTCGTGACTCAAGAAGACGGCGCGAGAGGCCTTGTTCACCTGGTAGATGCCGGAGATCGCCGTCCACAGCTGACGGGCGGTCTGATCCGGGGCCTCGGCGAGATCGAAGACGTCGTCCCCGACGGTGCTGAGGAGCCAATTGCGGACACAGGAGTCAGCAGCAGCCCAGGCCGCGTCGGTAGGGTGTGCCTCCTATGTGCCATCGACGTGCAGGAGAAGGACGAATTTGCCGCAGAGGGAGAGGAAGGACGACCAACGAGTGAAGTTAGGGCGCTTGAACTCAAGGGTGATCGGCACATGGGATTTGACTGAGATGGTGGCATAGGGGGGAACGGAGAAGACAGCCGGTGCCGAGGCTGAGGATGAGGAGTCGATGAGGGCAGCAGAGGAGTCGCTGGGAATGGGAGGGGTAGTCATGGTGGCGGCTTGGCAAGGAGGACCAGTGCCGGCGGTGGGAGAGGGAGAGAGGGGCGCGACTAGGGTGGTGGCGCAGCAGCGGGAGGAGTGGGTGGGCGAGTGGACCTAGGCCCGGACTCGTGATACCATGTAGAGAAGTATAAGAATCACACCACACACCCAATGTGGGGGGGTGCTGGATATATATAGCCACAGTCACAATACAATACAAGGCAACTAGGCTATGGTTAATCACTATCCTAAAATACATGATCCTGATGGATCCTTTCCTAATGCTAGCCTTCGTAATGAGTCATTTCCTAATACTATGATTAGCAGAACTTCCAGGTCTGTAATGCTGAGATGAAAACCAGCGATGGTAATTATGTATGAAAAATGATATCCTTCACAAATGAATAATACACTAGAATCTTCGCTAATCAGAAAAGTTGACTAGCTGGAAGCAACTTCCCAAATAAAAATAAAAATAAAATCAGCATTTTTTCTAGTAGTGCTATGCAAGAAAAACAGCAATCTAAAGCTTGTATATGAAGTAGGATGTCCACTGGGATATCCTGGAAATACACTAAGATCTTCCTCACGTATATGTATTTTGTTCCGTACCAGATTAAGCATTTTTCACTATTTAAGGAAGTCAGCAGTTGCAAAGATACTTTGGTGGCTTAAGATATTGCATCGTTTGTATTAGCAGACAATTTCTAGCAAAAGGGCTATAATAAAGCTCCAAAATAGATTACATTAAACAAAGTACAAAAAGAACTAAAATAAATTTACTGACACAGTTCCAATTATCACTGCTCTTGCAAGGAAATTGCATAGAATCAACAAATTCCGGCATGCACATGTCATGGTTTTCCTTGGTAAAAGGAAAATTAAATCCATTTATCTGAATATGCATCAGAAACATAATGATAAAAGAAGGTGCTCTAAGTGAACCTTGCTTCTGCAACCAGCTTCTAAGTTCAGGGAACAATTAACTAGATGCACATATACACAAGTCTATAAAAATACCTGGTGAGTGAAGTTCCTTCCTGGACTCCCAAACATACGGGCCAGACCGAAGTCAGCAAGCTTGAGCTGCCCATCGGCACCAATGAGTAAATTATTTGGTTTCATATCCCTGCAACACAGCTTATCAAATGCTGTTTTTGTTAGAAGGGGATTAGCAAGATAGTAGGTACCTGTGTAGCACCCATTTCTTATGGCAGAATGCTAGGCCTTTTAACATCATCTGGACATATGATTTTGTGTCAGCTGGAGATAGTATTATGTTCTTATCTTTTATGAGAGCTTCCAGATCAGTCTCCATAAACTCAAATACAAGGTGCAAATTTTCCTTGTAAGGGAAACAATCAATCAGCTCTATAATATTAGGATCTTTCAGCTCCTTAAGTAGTTTAATTTCCCTCAATGCGGTGAAGTTGACACCTTCCTTCTTGTCCTTCCCTATCCGGATTCTCTTTACTGCGACTGTATTTCCAGTCTGAAAAGGAACAGCATCCAGCAACTCATGAACAAAACAGGTCAATCAGAATGAAAAACTACTACTCCCTCCGTTCCAAATTATAAGTCGTTTTGGCTTTTCTAGGTACATTGTTTTTATTACATATCTAGACATTTTTTAGACAAAAGACCTTACGTACATGCGTATCTAGACATAGTATATATCTAAGTGCATAACAAAAGATATGTATCTAAAAAAGCCAAAACATCTTATAATTTGGAATGGAGGGAGTACAAAATATGAGTGAGCATGAAGAACAGCTGGAAGACCTGTGGTGATGCTATCACAGCCACATATACTTCACTGAGAAAAGAGTAAACGGTGATAACACTACTTAAGAGTTAAGACCAGTGAGAACACACCCCACATCTGCTCACCCTTACACACCTGGAACAATACACAAGTCCACCAAAAAATCAATCCCGGTATCCAACAGAACACAAGAACTACAGCTGAACCTTTCACATCGTAGTGTCTACACTGACAGTTCAATCAACGCACAGCTAAACAAAGCAACACAAAATCACCAATTTTATTCTCATCAGAGCGAATAGCAGTAGAACTACCCGAGTCCGAGTCAATCCAGAGCGAAGCCCCAACCACTCAATGACATCAATTCACGGGCTAGGCCGTGCAAAACCCTCTAACCCCTAAAGCTAAACCCCGCGACCACCCTGGCCACGCTCGAAGCCGCATGGATCAGACTACCGAAGCTCTAATTCTCGACTTGGTGGCCTCCCGCATATCAGAAAGGGAGGGTTTAGGAGATTGGTGTGGGAAGGGGACCTTGGTATCGATGGCCTTGAAGACGACTCCGTACGTGCCCTCGCCGAGGACCTCGCCCTTCTGGTAGCGATCCGCCAGGAGCTTCCCTCCTGCATCGTCGTCCCCGCTACCGCTGTTGCCGGCGCTCGCCATGGGGGGCGGGTCCCCAAGCACCTCCGCCTCACACCGGGAGGGCGGCGGCGCGTCCGAGTGGGGCGGCGCGCGCTGGGCCCAGCGGGTCCGGAGGCGACGGCGCGGGAGAAGGGAGCGCACGCCTGGACGAGGCGGGTCGGGTGCGGCTGGCGGCGCGAGCTGTGGTCCGGACTCTCGGCAACCGCAGCACGCCGTTCGGCGTTCGGCACCGGGGATGAATTGATTTTGGTTTACGTTCACTTTATTGATTCCGGATCTCTAGGTCTGATTTTTCTTTTCTCGTTTTTTACGAGTATAGTTTCGACCGTTCGACGGACGTCTGGGCAGTGTGGTGGCTGCGTTCCGTTCCGTTGCCCGTTGGGACCGGTTCTTCGCGCAACCTGCTCCCTGACCGTTGGGACCCATTTGATACTAAACCGAGTAGAGGCATCGCATTTATTATTATTTTATTTGTTATTCATAAAATAGGTCAATAATTGGTCGAAGGATTCTATAATGAAGAATGAAATACTACCTCCGTTTTCGTTTACTTGTCACCGGATTTTTGTAACAATTTTGACCATATGTTTTTTCTGCAAAAGATTTTTAGATACATCAAGTTTTCACATATATGATTCTTTATTCAACATACTTCATTAGTGTTATATACATTGAAATATCTAAGATTTTTTTAGAAGAAAAAATAGGTAGTCAAATTTGCTACAGTAAAAAATTGCTGATAAGTAAAACCAAACGGAGGGAAGTATATATATAGACGGAAGTGAGCATCTACATAGGTTGTTTGGTTTAAATAAAAAATTATCGTATTTCGAATGAAGTGGTACATCATGTGTTCACTATATGATTTGATGGGACAAGGCAATTCTAGATTCAGAGTGTTTGGATGAGGAGCAGAGCTGCTCAAGCAGCTTTCCTATACCATTTCCGTCCTAATAAATCTGTCATATTTGGGGGCATGAGTCACTTTCATTGCTCCTGCTGCTCCCAATGGCTCTTCATTTTTTTTGGTGGTCGCAAAAAAAAATCTCTCATCTTTCCTCGGATGAAGGGAGAGTTGCATATCCCCGAATATCCTAGGCCCCACAGTAACTACCACTTCTTCCCTTTACCCACCGGAGCTCACCTGTCGTCCATGTCGGACCTCGTGTGCCGGCCTACAGGAAGAGCCCCCATTGTGCTGCCTTGATGCTCCAAGCTCGCGAGGCACAAGGGGACCGGAGCTTATGTCGTTGCATCTTAGAAGACGGGGAGAAGGTCCCCGCCAACGTGCTCGAAGCTGTCGGCCGAAGCCCCACGTACGTTGTGCCTGGAGCAGTTGCGTCACCTACCGCGGCACCACGCCTGTGCGGCTGCCTGCCTAATCCACGGGACCTGCATGCGCTAGACCTACTCCACGGATCCACCGAGGAGCTTGTGGGCCTCGTGACCATGGCCATGGCCAACGAGCGGGGCGGCTGGGCAGCACGGCTGATGTGCACATGGGAGGCTAGGGTTGGGACGGCGTGGCCAGGGTTGCAACCAGGGACTGGACGGTGGCGCCAGGGTCGCGACGAGAGACAAGGACATCGAGACGGGCATCGAGGAGATTGAAGCCGGCGCGGACGGGATTGTCCCATGTGTTGGGGGTTTATAAGTTTATTGATGTTCCGCCGCAACATCTCTCCAAATAATCTAAAAAATAATATCTTTGTCCCCTCAACTAAACACAGGCACAAAATCATTCTATCCTATAAAAATGAGACGGATCCATCTCATCCTCTTTTGTCTCCGATGTCCAAATCAAACGTGGCCTTAGTAGAATGGCTCAATGTTTCATTGTGAATAACTTGTTGTGGATGAGGTAGCGATGGATCAAAGTATTCAATTACATAAACCAAATAAAAAATGAGAAGTAAGAAAACGATGAATCATCTAATTTCTCAAACCAACTCATAACCAATGTCATGGTGTTTATCTAGAACTAACAATAGAGATAATGGCAGCCTTAAATTTAACTACTCTAATATTATTAGATACATTTGTGACCACCTTTTGTAAGTTATAGTAGTTTGTAAAAGATCGGACAAAACCATGTAAAGTTTCTTGCGTGCCATTTTATAGTGTTTTCATGAAAAATGGATACTTAATACCTTGTAAGCACTCAAATCCACCAATTTAGTGTGTTGAAAGATCATTCAATATGAGCCTTTAATCTTTAGTCCTTGATCGCATTTCCATCAACATTGAGGGACACATTCTTTTCATGCACTGTGACGTAACACTCAAACATATTCCTACAGAACAGATGTTAGTCACAGTTGTATGGTTATCATTAATCACTGAAACCACTTACCTTTAGGGATCTAGATGCTCACAATCATCGAATCGTCCAACGAGTTCATTTGCAAAGCGGACACATCTCTAGTCGACCATATTGCTTCATACTATATAGCATATTAATTCTCTCCTACAAAACTCTGTAATTTCTTTGTGTTCAAGTAATTCAATTTAGGCCATCCGTAGTGGAAAAGCGTATTAATTCTCCCACCGTGGGATCATCCAGATCGAAATATTCCCGAACCCCTCTATTTCTACTAACTGCTCCGCCAATCACCCCATAGTCCGACATTGCTTCAATCTATCATTGGACTATCTGGTAAACTTTTCTACATAGTGACAACTTTTCTGTTGATCACCAGACCAAGTCTCATTATCCAGCGAGTATGATCTCCTCACAAACGGATCATTGGATGTTCTTGGGTCATCTCAATTATTTTTCGCTTATTTTTACTTAGTTTCTTCTAGGACTTCATACCACTTGTTTCCTTGCATCCCTAGAATATACACTACTAAAAAAACGTTTGTAGCAATGGGATAGCCGCCCCTACAGTAGGCATGCTCGGGATCCACGAGACCAGTCGCCCCTGCAAATGGCACAGTAGGGGCGGCTGATGATACGAACCGCCCCTACAATTGGGTCGATTTGTAGCGGCGGCTCACTTACCAGCCGCCCCCGGTGTTGCGATTTGTAGCGGTGGCTTAATCACTAGCCGTCCCTATAAATCACACATGTTCATCATTGATCATCATAAACAGTTGTGATTTTTCTTTTTAATCTCTAGGTAAAATTTGTAACTAGTCTTTCTTCCTCATACTAACTCTAAATGTGATGATTTTTTTTCTAAAAATTTATAAAATCTTACCCTATCAAGTTATTGTGTTGATTTGGTCATTCTTTTCGTTTGGCAAAGTTTGAGTAATTCAAATTTTTAAATTTAAAAAAATGATAAGTTCTAACAAGATTTTGAAACACCTAATGATTTCAGCTAAAAAAATGATGAATACCAAAGATGTATAACTCATCAAGATCTACAAGTTTTATTTTGGTTATTTCTTCATCTAACACTTTGTTCATAAATCAACATGTCTCTCATATAGTTCATGAAACTATGAGTGATATGTGAATTTATGAACAATGTTTACTAACACTTTGTCAAATAAAGAAGTGACCAAAATAAAAGTTGTAGATAGTGATGAGTTCAACAATTTTTATATTCATGACTTTTATAGTTGAAATCATTTAAGGTTTCAACATCTTGTTTGAAGTTGTCATTTATTGAAATTCAAAATTTAAACTGTTCAAATTTTGTCAAATGAAAAGATGATCAAAATAAAAGTTGTATATAGTAATGTGTTCAACAACTTTAATGTTCATCACCTTTACAGCTGAAATCATTTAGTGGTTGAAAATCTGGTTTGAAGTTGTCATTTTCTAAAATTAAAAATTTGAATTGTCCAAAATTAGTGATAAAGATATATGACCAGACTAAAATGATAGAGCATGATTTTAGAAAATTTTATGAAAAAATCATCATATTTGGAGTTAGCATGAGGGAGAAAAACTAGTTATAAGTTTTAACCACAGATTAAAAAGAGAAATCACACTTGTTCATCATTGATCATCATGAACAGTTGTGATTTTTCTTTTTAATCTCTAGATAAAATTTGTAACTAGTCTTTCTTCCTTATACTAACTCCAAATATGATGATTTTTTTCATAAAATTTTATAAAATCGTGCCCTATCAAGTTACTGTGTTGATTTGGTCATTCTTTTCGTTTGATAAAGTTTGAACAATTCAAATTTTTAAATTTAAAAAAATAACAAGTTCTAACAAGGTTTAAAGCACCAAATGATTTCAGCTGAAAAAGTGACGAATACCAAATATGTATAACTCATGAAGATCTACAAGGTTTATTTTGGTTATTTCTTCATCTGATAAAGTGATAGTAAATATTGTTCATAAATCAACATATCTCTCATATAGTTCATGAAACTATGAGTGATATGTGAATTTATGAACAATGTTTACTAATACTTTGTCAAATAAAAAAGTGACCAAAATAAAAGTTGTAGATAGTGATGAGTTCAACAACTTTTATGTTCATGACTTTTGTAGGTGAAATAATTTAAGGTTTAAAATCTAGTTTGAAGTTATCTTTTATTGAAATTCAAAATTTGAACTGTTCAATTTTTTAAATAAAAAGATGACCAAAATAAAAGTTGTAGATAGTGATGTGTTCAACAACTTTAGTGTTTATCACCTTTATAGCTGAAATCATTTAGTGGTTGAAAATCAGGTTTAAAGTTGTCATTTTCTGAAATTCAAAATTTAGATTGTCTAAAATTAGTGACAAAGATAGATGACCAGACTAAAATGATAAAGCATGATTTTAGAAAATTTTATGAAAAAAACCATCATATTTGGAGTTAGTACGAGGAAGAAAAACTAGTTATAAGTTTCAACCATAGATTAAAAAGAGAAATCACACTTGTTCATCATTGATCATCATGAATAGTTGTGATTTTTCTTTTTAATCTCTGAGTAAAATTTGTAACTAGTCTTTCTTCCTCACACTAACTCCAAATGTGATGATTTTTTTCCTAAAAATTTATAATATCATGCCCTATCAAGTTAGTATGTTGATTTGGTCATTCTTTTCGTTTGACAAAGTTTGAGCA